TCCTATCACCAACTTTTAGTTAATGACGTATATGGCGTAATGGATATTCTTCTACTACTATCATGAACGTAAAACGTTAAACATAAAACTAATTTTTACTTCGACTGCTAAGAAAGAACATAACCGATCCTTTTACAGAAACATTAGACCAAACAGTCACAATCTACTCAAAATTACCTGGTATTATATATAGTAAGTCGTCGAAAGATAAGATAAATAAAAAAGTAAAGTTCAAAGAAATAAAAAAAGACGAGAAAATTCTAGAGTATAAGGATTAAAAGAAAGCTTGACTTGAAAAATAGTAGAATTAAAAATGGCTCTAAAAACCTTTCACTTTGTATTTTTAAAAAGATTTTGCATCATAAAGTGTAGTGAAAATTGGGGAGTTTATATAATCACATGTCACGTATTAGTTTTCAAGCTTTTTAAAATGATGACATCATGATCATCAATTAATTTTTTCTGAAATTAATATTTTTATATAGAGTTTTTACATAAATCATCCCTGATGATTTTCTTAAACATCATCCCACGTGCCTATCACGTGATTTGTTATATGTATGATTATAGTTAAATAATCAAAATCCAATCAATTTTTTTATTTTTCATATTCTTTTCATTAAAGCTTTTACAATTTATTATACGTGATACTTTCCTTTATTTTCGCGTTTTTCCTTTGTTTTTTAATACTTTTATTTCTCATAACTTCCTTTTATTTTTCGCGTTTTTTTCCTTGTTTTTTTTAATACTCTCATTACTCATAACTTGTACCAATAATTTGCCAAATGAGTCAGTCTGAAACATCATCATTATTACTTCCTTCTCGCAGTGGAATATCCAAGAGAAGCCCACTTGAATAACTCAATATACCCGATACTGCTTTTGAACAAGCATCAAGATTATGTGTTAGAATGCAATTTGATCATTGGAATCATGCAAATTTGGTCTTGTTAGCTTATGGACAACAGACTGGCTTTGTATGGCGAATTCAAGACAAATATCTTGATAAAAATGGGGGAGTATATAAGTATGTATTTGAATGTAAACATGCTGGAAAGTTTCAGTCAAAAAAAAAAATTCTTGACCCTTCAAACTAACGAAATAGGCAATCAGTTAAAATAGAATGTACTTGTTTTATTAATATGTGTTGGCCACTTAAATCACCAGGACCATCTATTACTAAAATGAATCTCGCATATTATGGTCATACACTTAATTCTGAAACTATTAAGTTTGCAAATATATATAGACAATTTCCTCAAAATATTATAGTAAGATTGAATTTTACGTGAATACAATTCATGGAATTGATCAACACACTTTAAGACAACTTCTTTTTGGTGAATTTAAAGATCAGCTTTTTTTAGACAAGGATCTAGCTAATGCTATTCAACATTTTTGAAAAGGAGATCCAAGAGATTCTGAGCAAAGATCCTGAAAATGATGTATCAATCTCCTTAAAGAATTGCAAAAGCTCAAAGAAAGTGATCCAACATGGTTTATATCTTATCATTGTGTTAAGAATCGAATGTATCATTTGTTTTGGATGACTCCACACTAACAATATTTTTATTTAAAACATCATGATGTTGTAACAGATAATACAGCTCGGACTAATAAATATCAGATGTCATTATGTTTGTTTGTAGGAGTTGATGCACATCGTCAATCAAGATTAATTGCTCAAGCATTAATATCTGACGAAACAACAACAGCGTATATATGGGTTCTTAAAAATCTTTTGGAAGCAGTGAATAATATACAACCATTAACAATTTACTCTGATTGTGATACTGGATTGGGACCAGCAATTGAAACCATTTTTCCATTTACTCGATATTTACACTGCATTTTTCACATAGTTCAAAATATTAAGAAGCATCTTATGCGACCACTTGGCTCTGAATTTACTAAATTTCAAACAGAATTTTTTTCTTGTCGCAATACTCTATATGAAACAATCTTTGAAGCACGATTTGAAGCATTATGTGTGAATTTTCCAAATGCTTCATTATATTTTAAAACAACATTATATCCAATTAAGTACAAATGGGCTAAATGCTTTACATTTCAGGTATATTAGTTAAAAAGTTAGTTTGGAATTAGATTAGTTAAGATAGTTAAGGATGAGTGCGCTGGATTAGGGTTAGAAAATGAGTTAGAATAAGAAAATCAGATTTTAGAGTGACATCAAATTAGGCATTGACATTGAGATTGTATTAGGGTTAGAGTAAGGATAGGCGGGTTAGGTTAAAAAATGTTGACATTGAGATCATGTTAGGGTTAGGGTAAGGATAGGTGGGTTAGAAATTAAAAATTGGGGCTTGGAATGATGTTAGATAGAGTTAAGATTAAAAAATTGAATTCGTAGTGGTGTAGATTGATATTTATTAATACTTTACATATTTTTTTTACTTAGGAATTTAACGCTGATATGTCATCAACTCAAAGAGTGGAATCAATAAATGCTATTGTTCACAAATATGTTATTCTCATTCATCACTATTGGAATGCTTTAATGGTATACAAAATATGCTCTTCTCTGAACTTCAAAAAGCAGAATATCGGGATTACTTGTGATTTACCTTTTAGCATTGCTTCTTTTTCAGCAGTTCGTGTATTTTCTAAATTAGTGGAAAGTTTTAAAGAGTTTTTAACAGATGAAGTATTCCATATTCAAAAGGCTCAAATTGATGTATGTTTTGAATATTATTCAAAAATAATTCCTTTTGAATAATATGGTGATTATGGATAATGTAAGTTAATTTTATTTGTTAACGTATGTACAAGAATTATCTGCTTAGTACTAATAATTAATTTTTCTTAAAGATTGATGAGTTTGATACCTCAGCTTGTATTGAGGATTCTATAGATAAATCACAAGTTGCACTTAAATCTCTCATCAACCATGTTAATATTACTAATATTCTGGAAATTTTGAAAGTTAAACATATGGCAACAAATACATCTTCAACAAACTATGTAGCATTATGTCATGACTATTCACATATTTGCACATATTTGCTTTTAATTTTTGCCGTCATTTTTTTCAAGTGATGTTACGAATACAAACTGCAAAATTTGCCATTACTTTAATAAAGAATCAGTGGTATAAGAAAGATATTAACATACAAAATATTAATACCATATATGATTTACTTGGAATATATCATCAAGAGACTAATACTGCAACTGAAAATTCTGCTCTAAATTCTATATATAAGATTCAGAATCTAAGACAAGACTGTTTAAACCAAGATCCTGAAATTGATCATTTAATTATGAAATGACAAATTTATGATGAATGTGCAGCATTAGGTCGAAAGTTAACAACATTAGCTGCTGAATTTAATTTAACACATGTTTCAGCTACTATGTGGGGTTTAATTGAACAAGTAGAGCAAATAGAGCAATTAAATATTAATAGCACAAGCGATAATCGATCTCAAGAAATAGTTCAAAATCTATCACAAGCAAGTGCAAAAGGAAAACCTGCTAAAAGATTGAAGTCATGTGTTGAAAATAATTCAAAGAAATCTAATAGTAAACAAATAAATACTAATGTTTGTTTTGGAGATGCTTATATATGTCAAAATTGTTCTGCGAATGGACATAATGCAAGAAGTTATACTACGCTATGCAAAATTTACAAAGAAAATGGGCATACTTATTTACACTGTCAAAATAAAGAGAATGTTTAAACTATAATATTTATTATAGTTATATAACATATTTTATGTATGTTCTTTAAATATTATTTATGCTTGTAAATTAAATAAATATATAATGAGTACATATTGCTTAAATTACATGATTTATATACTGTGCTACAATAGGATGGTATTTAAAAAAAATCATCGGGGATGGTAATTAGAAAAACTCTTAAATCTATTAGGCTTTCTTGATTTAGAAGATAATTTTGGTGATGCTCCTATTTTTGACCTTGATTTATCATTTAATTCAAGTGGTCTAAATAGATTTTTAATATTTTGAATTATACGATTTGTTGTATAAAAAATTTTATTTCCTATTAAAATAAAGATTAATTTAATTTAATATTCTTAATCATTATTAAATTAATATAATACATTACCATGAATTCCATATAATCAAACTATTTCTTGAAAAGAATTTTCTATTGTATCTTGATAAATGATGTTATTTTTGGCAGATGAAGGAACAACCTATTCTTTATTTCAAAAATATTGGACTAATTTGTACTTTGTTTTATCCATAACATTTATAAATTCTTTTTCTATTGCATCTTTGAATAAAGTAGCTGCATAATAATGTCTGCACTTATCTCGTAAAGAATCATTCCAAATGTACTCCCAACATACACATTCTCCAGTATTAATATTGCATAAATAGAATTTAAAATTAAATTCTATATTTTCTAATAATAAGGGTTTTTTAAGTTTACTTATAATTTGATCATTTACATTCATGGGTTTGTAATTATAAAAGGATATAAATGGTTCGTTATATAATTTTTTAATAAAAAAATATTTGAAGCAGATGTTTTTTATACTAAACTAAGAAGAAAATCCAATTTTCCTTGGTTTAATCTTTGCAATTTATCTGAGCATAAACATGATACAGTATTCTAAATAATATATAATAAATTAAATAAATTAGTTTACTGAATAAGTTATTAATAATTTAAATAATAATAATTACCTCTTGTTTAATAGCTTGTGTATTAAATAATGTAACTAAACTAGATTCAAATATATTTAATCCACTATTATCCATAATAGTATTACTTTGAAATTTTACACCATACATGCGTTCAATAAATTATAATGGTATTTGTTTACTACTATATACTGTTTCTATTATTCTATTTATTTGTTCAGTAAAATTATTTATGATTCAAGGTAAATGATTTGTTAAATTATTAGAGATTGGGATGCGTTTTGCATCAATAAAACTTAGTCTCCATTTAGAACACATCCAGTTATTTGACATATCATCAATAATTTTTTTTTGTTTTATTTTTTCAATAGGTAATGAATTTATAAATTCATTAAATAATTCAACCATTTTAATAGCAGCTGTTTTAGTTCGACAATGCCTTACAAATTTAAAAGCTAATGCAATTAGATATCTAAGTAAAAATAAAAAAATAAGATAAGAATACTAGTAATTATTATATAATAATTAGAATTATAAATGACTTACTGGAATTGGACAGGTATATGCCAATTATTAAGATTTTCTCTATAAGTTTTCATTATGTAAAACCAACATAAAATAGGTCTGCGTAATATATTTTGAATTGCCAATTTTGATGGTCTATGTTTGTTAATTATTGCATATCAGTCAGCAAACATTTCAGTTCACGTAGCGATTATTAATTAAAAAATTGGTATAACCATAGATAACCAAAATGTACATCTAATGCAACATTGATTTTTTTTAAGTAATATACTCACGAATCTTAATACAATTATTTTTTAAAACTTCGCCTACATACTTCAATTCTTTTTTTTATAATACAATACTTTTACAAAAAACTGTTATTAGACTGACTTTTTTTATTATTTTGATTTTAGTTTTCAGATGCAAGTTTATTTAAAGACTAAACATTATTTTAAATTACAAATTATGTGTAATTTTTTACATGCAATCAAAATATTTAGACTTAAGAAGATAGTTAGATTAGTATTTTTTCGAGAAATCAGAAGTTTTTATTTTATTATATAATTAAGTGATATTTTATTGTCCTATTATTTATTTATTTTTATGATAATTCCACCAATCTCGTACTTTTTTTACAGTCCAAATCTCTGACAATTGCTCATAAGCAGAAGCAATAGCATTATTTGGAAGTTTATTCTTATAAGTTTTTAATGAAAAAAGTATTACCATTTCATCTTTTGTAGTTTGATATTTACTACCTGTTGTATTTCTTTGTTTTAGAGACTGTGTTTCATTAGAGTTTTCTACTAATTTTTTTCATGCTAATTGTGTAGATTCAGCAGTCCTTCTTCTTTTTTCAGCTTCACTCCTTGCTTTTCTTTGATCTTTATAATTTTTTAATTTTGTTTTAATAACCTCACTGCTCTTTTACCCTATGAATTTTTATGTTTTATTTTTAAAACTTCTTGATGATACACTCCTTTTATTCGTTCTAATCCATTTAGATAGCATGCAATTAGGTGGTCAAGACCCTTTTGATGTATTTCTGTTGGCATATATTCTTGAAATAATTTGTGAGATAAGGGGTCATCCATTTCAAAAATCACTACAAGTTCATTAATTAGATTCTATAATGATTCTTGGTATGAGTCAATAGCCCATTAGTTATACAAAATTGAATAATCATTATTGTATTTACTAATTAATAAATCTACTCTATCTCTTTCATTTTAAGAGAATTTTATCTGGTTTTTAAGATTTCTTTCATCAATTACATTTCCACTAATATTTTGTTTTATAAATTTTACACTGAAAGTTTTCAAAGTCTCATCAAAACCAAAATATATATAGCGTGCACTCTCAGGATTTTCATCAATATCATAGGTATCTTAAAAGCATTACAATAATGTAATCTCTCTTTTAATTCAGGATGAGCTTCTATAGTAACGAGAAAATGAGTTATAGCTGTTGTATAATTTGATTTGGCAGCACTAGCATATAGTGATCTTGCTACAGATAAAGAATCTCATTACAAGTCAAAGTTTTTCACACGCATTTCCATCCTATGTGTTTTCCAAATTCCAGCCCATTGGTAATATAGATACCATACCTAATACATTTTTAAATAATTTTAAAATTTTGATTTTATTAATTTAAATAAAAATAAAATAATAAGAATGTAAAAAATAATATCTTGGAACGTGTTTTTTTGTTTATTTCTTTTTATATCTTAAGACAAATATGATTTTCACTATCCATTATTTTGGAAAATAATATTTCTTTTTAGTAATATAAATATTAATTGCTATTCCTACTGCCACCCATAAAATATCTAACACTCATGTTGTTGAATGATAATTAACAGCTGTTTTAAATTTATCTAAAAAATGGATACTTAAATATAACGCCAAGCTTAGTAATCCATAACTAGAGAATAGAACTAACAAAACTGAACAAAAGTCCTTTGACGTATACCACTGTCCAAGGAAAGGTCTTATATTTAGCCATTTATCCTAATATTTAATCAACCTGCGAAAAATTGCTTTATCTGCTACAATATCCAAAAAGAATAACTTTCTAATGCAAAATCTTTTTTATACATTTCAGCAACTTGCAAAATTTCTTCATCTGAATTTGGGTTGCTACCTGGCTCTAATATTACAATATTAAGTGATGGGTTAAGACATCCACAATTTAATTTGGAAAGTATAACGCGTTTAATATTATCTGCATCAAAGTTTTTATTGTAAATTAGTTCACCATTAATCTCCTTAAAATTTAACATTTCAAAAATAGTTTGCTGAAATATTATTAATGTTCTATCAATACCTTGGTTCATCCCAAATAATGGAGTTTCAGCTGTTAACTCAATAACTTGTTCAAAGCCAATGTTTATTTCAATCAGCAACTGGGCTTGAAAAGCCATTCTCAAAGTAGACTGTGAATTTCTACAGATGATATCATAAATATTTTCAAACTTAAAACTTCTTTCTTTAAAGTTGATGTTATCAATTACAGCTAAATTCCAAATATTTTTACCTTTAATTAGGCAGTTTGTTGGATCTGAATCCTCCATTCATATTTTTGCAAGCCTTTGTTCATACTGATCGCTATATGATATAACACAATAAACTGTCAATAATTGTTGAAAAGAGCCTAATAATTGTGGTATACTATTATAGAAAGATATTGATCCAAAAGATCATGTGACACACGTGACTAGAAGGCATGTTGACTGCATCACGTTAGACGACAAAGATGGCGAAGACAAGAGAAATAAATTAAATGAAAGTTACACAAAAAACCTAGAAATCGTCAGAAAATTCTTTTATATTATTAATCATTATTAATCATTTATTATTTATAATCAATCAGTATTTTATTTATTTATATTAGCAGATTTAGTATAAATAGGATAGCTTTAGAACTTGGTTAAAGAGAACATTATTAGGTAGCAATAGACAGTAGTAGATAACAAGAGATAGTAATTAGTAAACATTTAGAATTCAATTAGTTTTATCACCAACAAGATAAATATTAATAACAGTTATATGCTAACAAATATAATTGTATCGAATTCTTTATTTTTTAATAAAATCCTCAAAGTTTATTCTAAATATACATTATCATTTGAAGTAATAATTATTTATAAACCCTTCAGAGCTCTTCCTAAAGTATCAAATAAAAGCTAAATCCCTTTGTTAATATTGTGTTAATACTAATTTTCAGTCGTTAATATCATAAGATAACAATACGGCTAAAGCTAGATAAAACTTGAGGTAACTAAATTTTTAAGTGAGGAAAAGCAATTCCTAATAGCATTGATGTAATAAACATTACAATTTTTGTTGTACATTCAGGAATCGTAATCTTAGGTAATTTTTCACATTTTCTTTTCTATCAGTTGCATACCATCACTTTTTTCTGATACAATTCATCTATCATTCCAAAAAAAAAGCTATTTAAGAATTTGGAAAAAGCATCATAATATTCTTGAATAGTTTGTGGAGATTCCAAAACCAATTTTTTTGATTTGACATCTGATCGTGAATTCCATAATTTTTGACCAAATGCACGTCCAAATTTTTCAAAATCAATTTCAGAATTTATTTCTGCTTCTTTTTTTAAAAATGATCTTTATCATAAATAAACTAGGGAGTTCATTATAAAGAATTTTTGCTTGATTGGTTAATGTATTGATTGATGTATTGATAGATGTAGTAGTAATATCATTATCAGTATCTTCTTGATTAAATGGAACAGATGTAAAAGGAAGTAATGCTCTGGAAGTTTCTATAAGTAATTTTTTTTTAAATTTATCATTACCAGTTTGTGCAATATTAATTAACTAATTACCTAAATATTCAAGATTTTTTATTGTATCATCAGCGTGTAGTTTCTCGGTAATACATATTTTTGCACACTTTTTCCTACCAGGATGATGATAAATGTGACCACCTAACATCTCATAACATAAACAACAAATGCTTTAAGGCTTTTTAATATTATCAAATGCCCAGTTACATAAAGGCAAACAAATTCTTAGCACTTCACATGCGTGTTGTCCAATGCAGGGTATTTGAATATTTTGCTTATTCAGATGCTAAGAGTATATAATATATCCCACACCTTGAGAAAAAAAAGTAACATATTTGTTATAAGAAATATATTAACGCCATTGTATAATTCCCTCTTCAAAAGCCTTGAATCTTTTATTTTGTGGTTTATGTAAATATTTGTTATCAAATTGGAAATGCGAATCACAAACTCCTAATTTTGACAAAATACCATCAACTTCTTTAACTGCATCTCTATCAACTTACCATGTGTCAAATAAATTACGCAACTGTCTTAATTTTCCTGATTCTCTGCATCGCTGATTCTTGCTATCAATAAAATTAATTATAACGCATAGCATAAATTTTGTTTATTCTAAATGATCTATAATCTCATCTTTTTCGATTTCTAACATTTAATTATTATCTAAAATCCTTACTTCAGAGTCTTTAGAATCTATACTGCTAATACTACTAGTATCATTATTATCAGTCCAAGCTAGAGTATCACAAAATACTTTTGAAATTCTTTCATTTTCAAATAAAAACTCATTATTCTTGTTCATTTCATCAGTATATTCCTCTATTAAGTCTTCTGAAAGTAAATAAAATGATGAAAAACTAGTATGATTATGTTTCACTATTTTTGTGATTTACATATTTAGTGAAAATTAGAACTAAAGATGCAAGTTTGTTTCATCTAAACAAAAATAAAACTGTTCTTTTGTTATTACGTGCTTTCAAATATCTTAGTGTTATAAAGCACAGTGAAACAAGATTTTATGAGATAAGATATACGTAAAGTTTGGCAATTTTTTGTTTATAATTTAATCGTTTCTAATAAAGGTAACCTAATATTTATTCAATTTCGATAAAAATTAATATTATATAGCATTGAGATAGTATAAATCTATATGCAAAATTTTAGCATATATTATTATGTAAGATTTTTTATTTGATTAAAAAATGATTTTACAAAATTGACGAATATTTATGTCGATCCTTTTAATTAAAAACAGGTCACCATGTCGATCCCTAAAATGTCCGCTGACTGATATAGTTTCCAATTATTATTTGACATTCACGAACTCGTTAAAATCCATTTCCTGAAATTAAGTTTTCATAATATCATCTATGTTAGCATAATATATCATTATAAGGAATATTTCTTTTAATAGCGATAATTGTCAGTTTTACAGTTTGATTATTTTCTTTGTTATTTAAAGCTATTAAAAAAATTTTTTATATAAATAAATTAAATTACTAAAATAATTTTATTTTATTATTTTATAATATAATTATCAAATGCCAGAGGTAAACTATGACCAGCTCCATTTTCAAGAATAATTGATAATACTAGAACTTAATCTGCATTTAAATCATATTTTCTATCAATATTAATGCAAATATTTTCATGATCACGTTCATTTTTAAGCTAAAATTTATCAGAAAAAATTAGTTAATAATATCGATCAGATGATTCAATTGGCTGATCTAAATCTAATGTCTGATAATATAATATATTTCCTTGCAATTTTAATAATTCATTAACCAAATTATTAAGTTGTGTCCATAGTTCAGTATTATCTTTAAATTTTCTATCATTTCTTATAATAATTCTTTGAAGTTTATCATTATCACAAATTTAACGCTGACTTGCTAATGTTTTACTAATTACTTCTTCTGATGCACCATTAAATGGAATTAATAATTTGGCTTTTATTTCTTTAGCTATTCTATGATCCACTCTTCTATTTAAAGCAATTGAATCTCTAATAGAATAAGTTAGATTAATTCAAGAAATTTTAGGAATAATATTATTAAATATATGTTGAGATGGATAATGAGTTCTTTGAATAGTAATGCGTAATGGAGTTTCTGAATTTAATCATGATAATCGACATTTAGAAATAACTCTAACACTATATAAATGCATATCATTTGCATTTTTAGATTATTATGTAATAAATAATGATCACAAGTTTCTAAATATTTTTCAATTCCACCATATAAATGTTGACAAATATCCCTATCATCAGAGCAGTACATTACCTAATACCAGCACTATTGATCTTTCTCTATTCCTAAATTGATTTGTGAAATTAAGTTTTCTCTTTTAGTAGTTAGAACTAATATATCATCTATTCTATTTGTAGATTTTTTAGTTCTGGTTATGGTGGTCTATTCAAATAATTTATTACTCCTTATGTGCGTTTTATAGTTAAAATATCATTTTTAACAAGTTTTGGAGTAACCTGCCTACTTTGGTTTTTTAAATGATAATTTTGTAATAATAGTATATTAGCTAAGTACTATTCTGCAGTATAGCCAAAAGGTAAATTAACAGAATTATCATTATTATATATGATTTGTTTTTCATAAGTTTCATAAGTTTTCATTTTTTTTTGTAAAAAAAGTAAAAAAAAGAAAATTTTAGAATGCGTTTTACATGACACAATATAAATTATATATTAATTAAACTTTTGTATTACATTAGAGATCTATGAGCACATTTAATATTTTTAAAAGTTAGATAAATAATTAAAAAAGTCACAATTTTTTCCAAATAATCAATAGTCATAATTTTTTTCTGAATAATCAAAAAATTTATAACGATTTGTACAACTAACTTCTATAATCAAAAAATGCTATCTTCTTAATCAAAAACGAATTATTTGCTTTATTTACATTTGCCAAGATAAAAATTCTACATGCTGTCTCTATTTTCTTAATTGCATTTTTCAAAAAATCGTTAGGAAGTGTTTTAATGTTTCTTTGTTAAGCAATCTCTAAACCTTACGCTCTTTAAAAAAACTCATTATTTTCATATTAAAAATAATAAAACTTGATTGTATTAAACAAATACATCTTTCAAAGAATAAAACTCAAGAACCTAAACTGATAACTGAAATTGAAAACTAACTGACTGAAATTATAATAGTATTTGTTCACTACTAGCAAAATAAATACTAGTATCTAGATTATACGATATGAATGTTAATACTATCAGTAGGATATCACATATAATATAATTTATATTACATGTGGTATTCCACTTGCCCTAGATTATAGTATCGCATATAATCTGAATATTACATATAATTTAAACAATATAATCTAATTACCACATATAATCTAAATAATATAATCTAAATATTGCATATAATCTACTTTTTTTTTTACTATTTCTTATATCTCTTTTACATTCTAGCTATGTCTTTAAATCTTTCCTAGTATTCATGTTTTTTATGTTATTATAGTTTTATTACCACAATATAATCTAATTATCACACACATATGATCTAAATACCACGCTTTTCTTCTTATTTCTGAGTCATTTACAGACTAAATTATATAATAGGGTTGTTAGTTATCTGTAGCTATTTAGATACCTAATTTTATATTAAAGGTACTGGCCTCCTGTATCTGGTTTGATGCTGGATTATATATTGAGGTACTTACCCTTTGCGTCTGTTTGATTACCTGTTTAAATGCCAAATTGTAATAAAAATCGTATTGAGTAGTGCAGTAAATTTACATTTAATTTTAGCTAACATTATACCATAATTTCAGCTGATCTTTAGGATACATGATTTGAGGATCTAACTCGATGTCATGATAGCGATCTAGCAGTACCTAGAACTCTCCTAAAACTATCATGAAACTGGCAAGGAATCTGAGATTTTCTATTAGTTCATCAGTTTTAGGCCAACTTGAGTGTCGAATTATTATATTCAAAATTCTGGCCAAAAATATAGAATAGTATTGGCCAAAATTGAACAAAATTTTACTGCATCTTATTGCGTTAATCATATGATTCAGTTCTTCACCAGTTCTGATATTTTCTCGTCACTTCCTCACAATTTTCTTGTTACTTTCAAGGGTCAGTTAGTTAAAGGATTAAAAATTCTATTTAACAAAAAAAAAGAAAATTAGGGTTCTGATAGACATTACTATGGTCAGCCCATTTGTTTATCGAAAGTGCGCACCTGTAACCAAAGTAACTATTGCTTATTTGTTACCAATACATATATGCTAATTTCGCTTCTGAGGTTAGAGATGTGATAGGCATTATTATGGCTGGACTTTTTGATTGATAGAAAGTATACCCTTTTGCAACCTAATTATTGCCTATTAGTTATCAGGTATGAGTATCCCAATATTCGAAATATTAGAACGCATTTATATTGTATTTCTATTATATTTTCAGGCATATTAGGATGTAAAATAGGGTAAAACTAGAATGCGAAATAAGACAGATTTTATATGCACTATTTGCAATTCTGTTTTAAGAAAAAATTAGAAAATTTACTGGGTCACTTCCTAGAGTAGAGTTTGTTATATGAGAAAGTATTCTTTTTTTTTATTTTGATGTATTTCTGTATTATTTACCTTAGATATCCTAGGTAACCTAGTAAAAATAAAGTTATATAAAAAAAATCATTTTTTTTCTATGCTATCTTTTTGGCGTTAGTAAGATAAAAAAATAAAAAAAAAAGTATAGAAGTTCAATTTTTTCTAGGTCACCTAAGTCACCTAGGTTAAACCATTCAAGAAAACATTCTAGCGATCTAATAAAGTTAATTTGCTATTTTGCTTCTGTCTCAAGAAAATCAAAATTTTTTTAAGTCACCTAGGACAGATTTTTTTAGGATAGATTTTTCTAAGGCATCTAGTTTCTTTCTATAATAATATATTTTTGAATGATACTTATCTACATGTAAATTATATATCTCATACAATGATGTAATGAGTTTTCTACACTGCTTACAAGGACTTCGCTGATGCTTTTTCTAATAGATTTTACATCCTTCTTACCAATTACAAACCCTCTCACACACGTTCTCTTTATTGAAAGATATTGGCAGATAAATTCATCTTTTATTGGGTATTTTTTAAATTTCTATAATTATTTTTTATTTAAACTTTTTTCTTAGGACAATATACCCTGAGTATAGATTATTGTATAACATTCAAAAATTTCACTATGTCACAATCTGAGCTTTCAAACTTTCTCAACACGCCCACCTTACTTTTTCATCTAGAGGCTGAAAAAGATAAAATAGAAGGACAAATGATTTGCTACTCCAGTAGAGATTACTTGAATTGCATTTTAAGTTGTGATGATATAGTTGTGAAAAATGATGAGAGATTAACTGCAATTCTTGAAGATGCTCTATCTAAGCAACAAGATATTTATTTCATTTATGGCTATTAATATAGAAGAATCTACCGAATTCATAAATAGTAAGGCATATTATGTATTGCGTCTCTACGGATCACTTATCAATAGTCAGAAAACAGTAGTATTAATTATGGGAATTTGAGTATTCTTTGATATTCTCATATCAGATGAGAAATCTATAGATGTATTTGAGGTGAAAATAAAAGGCATCCTTTCGAATGTGATAAAATCATTTGAAATAAAGCATATAAAAGCTTTTCCATTTCATGGTTATCATACAGAAAAAAAGCCATATTTACGTATTTATGCAGTTAATACTAAGCAAAGGAAAATAGCCATAAAGCTATTTAAAAGAAAAAGTACATAACTGCCTCGAACAATCAATTTACATATTATCACAAAGTAGCTTGTGAATGTGAAATTTTACTATCCAGATGGTCTATAATAAGTAAATATGTATGTGAATCTAGAGGAAGAAATAACCTGCTCTATGCATATACTTTCTGAATATCTATAGAGAATTTTCGTCCTGTAGAAGACTTGGCATCATTAAAAAATCACTTTTCAATTTTAGCACTTATGAGAGATTATATGCTTGTTCTTATATGGGACATAGAAATATATAGTTCACGTAAATTAGATAAATTTTCTGAAGTAATTAATAAAGAAGATTTTGTAATCATGATTTGTATAATATTATATTAGAAGGACGATCTAAGACCGTTAAAGCAAATCTATCTTATTGATATCAAAATAGTACCAAATTCACGTTAGATCACAATTATATGTAGATCACAAACTAATTTACTAAAAAAATTTGCATTTTGCTAGTAGGCATTTGCTCTAGACATCCAATTTAGATTTAATGATTCGTAATATGACTGGCCTTTCATTATGAAAAAAGCCAATAAATTACATCTCATTGAATGAATGTAAAAACAAATGTCAGGAAGAACTCGTCAGGAGACTTCTAAAGACATTATACAATAGAATTATTATAGAAGATTAGGAGAAGTAACTACTTCTGATGAAATCCTTTCTGTGAAAGAGAATACAGAAGAAGATGTAAAAGAAGAATTTAGAAGAGGTTCTATTTTCATCAAAGTTAGTCCAAAAGATATCTTTAAATCTTCCTTTCTTAAAATACCTGAATGCATACTAATCGATGTTTGTATATACTTTAAGAGACTTTACCCTCGCTTAGAAGTGGAAAATAAAAGTTCACTTAAGTTCTACTTAAAATTATGTGGGCTTAAAAGTAAGGCTGATATGCATTTTAACAGATTATGAAACTACTATTCTGAGGCAAAAGAACTCTCTTCTGATATAACTGCTAGAAATATGCATAAAGTAACAAACTATTATATTATAGATGTGTTGTGTTACTAAGAACTCATAGTCAAACGCAATGTAATTAACGATTATAGAGAAGTCGCTTCTATTGCTTATGTATCTTTATTTGATACACATTATCATGCAAATGGAATGAAGGTAAGGAATCTTCTGAGCGCTTATACCACCAAATGCAATATATTATTTAGTATAATTTATCACAAAGATAAAGAAAAAGGTAAATATTCTAAAGCATATATTTTCCTTCCAATAAAAGGTATTGAGAATAAGCATCCCGTTATAGGTCTTGATTTCGCCTTATTATATTCCAGCCTAATCATGGCTTATAACTTCTCACCTAAAAAAATTAATATTAAGCTATGAAGAGGCTGATAATGTACATGAAAAAGAAAATAAACTTTATGAAATTAAATTTCCATTTAATGGTCATATTTTTAATGCTTGGTCTATTCGTCATGACAATTGTTCTGAGAAAAAAGGATTATATTCTACTATTCTAGAGGATCTGTTT